GGGATTTGGGGAGTTTACTCTAGTATAGGGTAGCAAAATTCAACTGAACTAGCTCTGGTATAGGCTAAGGCTTCCAGGGTCCCAGCGGCACAACCCCACCCAGAAATTCCCAAAGTACCCCCCCCCCCGGGGGTAGAAAAAAATAATTTGCTGGCAAATTTGTTCGATTAATCTATCCAGTGAATGCTTATAATTCGTGTCTTCCTCGTAAAAGACCGGTAAGTTTGGCGGGTTTAATAGCTCGAATGCGCAGATGTTTAGTCTTTGCGAGGGAACAGCTCACGTACCAAGAGCTAATTAGTTGCTCCAAGACATCACTGTTGTTTGCATCTCATTGGATGCGAGGTTATTTTAAACAGTTTGCTTGTGTCTAGCTTAGATGTAACTGCTTACTTACGTCTCTTGTAGTAATTCGAGGGAAATCTGCAAAATACTCCCAAAAATCGCAAAAGGATGGGAATTTCTTGTACGAAAACACTTTAGCACAACGCCTGCAACAATGGACTACGCAAATGAAATATTTATTGCTTTCAACGCACCCAAAATACCCTTGGTTCCGAGGGATTATGGACCATCTCTGACCATTTGTCTCACTCCCCGGGGGTACTCCCTTATATGGGCTACGTAGGTATGTGCGGCCCCAAAGGGTATGGTTTTTCAGCCGTTCTGGTCATGAATAGGGTATCGATTTTGGTCTCAAATAGGGTATGGTTTTTTCACTCGTCTTGAATTGGGTATGTTTTTTTAGAAGAAGCTACTTTTTCATCATTATCGACAAGACCATCATCGAAAGCCCTTCAAAAATTATGTTTAGGGCAACTGTGCCAGCCGAAACGGTCATAAACAGGGTGCTGAATTTTGGTCAGGTCATAAATAGGGTAGGGGAAAATCGCAGATTTTGGTCATAAATAGTGTAAGGGTTTTGGGAAGTGGTCCGCACACCCCCACCCAATTTTTCTGAGAGTACCCCCTGGGTGTCTAACAAAGTTCATCAAATATATTTGATACGATGGCAGGGTCATCAAATGCCTCACACGTCATGGTTTGTTCTAGAAGAAACGTCTTCCTCCTTAAAAGGAAAGAAAATTCTTGGTATGAAGTATTTTAACGTGAAAGCGAATCGTCATTTCCCCCTCCAAATTTGATCGTTTCGACTGATTAATTGTCAATCATTTGTTCAACAGAAGAAATCTAGTTGCCTTAGCAACAAGCGATTTTCGAATTTGTTATTGTAAATTTTAGTTTTTTGAGACCATACGTTCGAAATAACTGCTTTTAACTGAAAGTAAGTCCAAAGTTTAATTTGAGCCGTAGGAAAGTTACAGATTACAGAGCGCGAAAGATATCAGATTTTCCCGGGGTAACTAAAGTCACCTCAAAATGAAGACTGTATTGGTAAACAAAACAAAATTATTGGAATTCAGTCCAGCTTAGGGTCTCGAGAATCCGAAAATAGCTCGTTCCACTATCGGAGGAAAACTCTCTCGACCCGGCCACAGAAAGGTCATGGATGTAGAGTCAAGTTACTTGTTTTTCTTGAAGTGCTTTCATTAAAAAAAATGACACTTCGCCATTCTGTTGTCGTCCAGTCTTCAAGTTTTCAGTTGCAATGTTTCATTGTGTTGTATTGACGTGTAAAAAGAAGGAAGAGATTTAAGTCGCGCCCCAGATAAACACGTTTCGGTATTTTATGGAATGGAAGTACGGTGAAACTTCTCCGCCACGTTGGCCGCAGAAAAATAATCTTACCAAAAAAGGGAAAGCCAATGTTCGTCTTGTTCCTGCGGCCGGAAAGGTTGAGCCCTGAAATAATTTGTGTTATCCAAAATTTGTGTTCACACCATCATAGCCTTTAACTAATTTTCAATCTAATTGGAGATATTGAAAAGCGACTGTCAAGTCGTATCAATATCTTCCCCATTTGCTGACTTTCTATATTTAAGCAATAGAGCACGTTTTCCGTGTTTACATAACCTCATCTAAACACGAGGAGGGTTGGGAGAATTCGAGACAGTTATGCAAATCCGAGACGTATAGTCGAAGGTTTGCATAACTTTCGAGAACTCTGCCAGTACCCGAGTGATTAGATGAGGCTATGTAAACACGGAAGAGTGCTCTATTGCTTTTATAAAATAATTCTCGAAGAAAAGCGCGAATCTAAAGCGTCACAACCGTGTTTACATACTCTCATCTAAACACACGTATCGACCAATGAGAGCACGCGTAGTAGGGTCCGTAAGGCAGGTTTGTTTTGCGGCCCAAAACGCATGTGGCTATCTTGCGCGCTCGGTATTACGTCCAAAATGTAGGATTTCAAATTGCCCTCAAAAGCCAATAAAACTACTGTAGTGGGTGGGGGACTTTGAAGAATACCACAATACAGTTTCAGTGGGAGATCAGGACACGCCATAGACGGGTACATGTTCCTTTGGCAATGGCGATTTCCCTAAAATGCAGTCCGCTGCTTTTTCCGCGATCATGATCGTGGCCGCATTCAGATTACCGCTGACTACACTAGGCATGACAGACGCATCCACCACCCGAAGATTGTCGACTCCGATGACTCGCGTGTTCTTGTCGACAACAGCCGTCGGATCATCGTCGGCTCCCATCTTGCACGTGCCACAGGGATGATAATCTGTCTTGGCATATTCTCGTACGAAAGAATCTATATCGTCTTCTGTTTTACAAGTTGAACCTAAAAGAGAGGTATGTATGTTATAAGGGTGAAAACACAGCAATCCAAGAGAAAAAAACGAGTTAGACCAAGTACGTCAGATATGTAAAATGTGAAATGTTCAGATCGCGGGAATAGGCCAAGTTTCTCGGAGGTTTCGAGTCCATCACGAATAAATCGAGTGGCAGATTTAGAATGAACTGAGTCCCGTCTTAGCTCTTTGGCTTAAAGGTTTAAAATGTCTTGAAGACTAGAGAAAAATGCAAAACGAACATTAATAAATTATTGAAAAGCAAACAATTCTATCAAAAAAAAAAAAATCAAATGATAAGAGGCTCGCACAATTTTTTCGAAGTATTAAAAAGTCGAGAATGTGATAAACCATAGCACATCTATGCAAAGCAACCCATTACAAGTCTTTCATCACAAACCTGGTCTCAATTCTTTTCCTCTGTAAGGTTCAAAGGCCTTTTGGCTGAGCACGTGACGCGCTATTCGTACGCAGGTCCTCATGAGCCGGCGATCGCTGTCATGTGTCAGATAGTTTGGCTGAATGACAGGATGAGTGAGTGGATCACGTGACCTCAGCTTGACAAAGCCTCGGCTGCTGGGTTTAAGTGTTTCAACACAGAGCTGAAACGAAACAAACAAAAGTTGTTACGGAAACAGTTTCTTGGAACGGCAAAGAAAAATATCAACAGGTGTTTCCACATCGATGAAGGGACAAGGAGTTTTGTCGGTGCCCGCGCAGGCTAAAACGGTGCCTCCAGTACCTCCTTAGGAGCGTCTCAGCTCACCTTGCGAAGGGAGGCGCGATGTTCAAGCTGTTTTTTCGTTCAGTCTTCTTTTGCGATCCCATGCGCGAACGACCGCGTGAGTGGTCTTCACGAATGTGAAGAAAATACCGTAACTGGCCATTTAAGCAGGGTTACTCTGGCGCCAGGGTAACCCTAGTGCTCAGCTATAGGGATAGCCTAGTGCCAAGGTAACCCTACCTGACTTGTAAACACGTCTATGAAAAAAAAAAGAAGAAATGTGGGAGTGCTAGGGTAACCCTCTTGCTGAGGTAACCCTAGCAAAAGGCTTACCCTACCCCCTTGTAAACAGGGCCTCAGTGGACAATGTACCTGGTATCCGTGTTGGATCAAATCAGATTCGCCTGCTTCTCTCATGACAACAGGAACAAATTGTAACGCTATATCCGGGTGCGATACACCAGGGTCACTTTTGACGAAGCCACCGCTTTCAAAATGGTTTGTGGCACACGTTCCGTTCTTGAACAAGAACCACTGTGCTCCCGCCAAGACCTTGTTGTGAAGTTTAAACGCGCTGTTAAGTGTTACTGGCTGGAGGCATTCCTGTTTTAAGAAGTAAAAATGATTAGAAAGAGACCTATGTCGCTTTCGGGCCACTGGAGCCCACTGCTGCAGGTGCATTGCTACTCTGCCCTGAGTGGATTGCTAGTTCATTAAAGGCTACTGCTTTTCAGGCACCCCTAGCTAACAGATTGCTGTCAACTGTTCATGTCTCTGCGTGAAGAGAGGGATTGTGAGAGCTAAGTGTCTTCCCCAAGAACACAACACTATGGTCCCTGCTTGCGCTTATACCCGCGTCAGTCAAATGCGCTAAACAGTGGATTATTGTGACTCTTATGACAATGCACCCCGATGCGACTTCATTCGCGCAGATAAAAGATATGTCTCTTGTAGTCGTGACAAGACCGACCAGTCAACTCAACATTAATCCACTTGCGTTGTAGAGCAACTAGCGCGAAAGATCTAAAACAAACGTACTTACAAATTGAACATACACTTGCACGTGATCTTGCAGATTTTTTCCTACTCCTGGTAAATTAGCCACCACAGGTATTCCCAACGCTTTCAAGTCGACTTCATCTCCAATACCAGACAGCATGAGAAGCTGAGGAGAATTGAACACCCCGCCACAAATAATCACTTCTCTTGAAGCGCGCACGCGTTTCGTGGAGTTCCCCGCGCGGTATTCTACCCCGATAGCTTTGTCCTTGTCAAACAGCACTCTGTTTGCCAGCGCCCTGGTTTCCGTAACTAAGTTACTCCGTTCCAGAGCGGGCTTTAGATAAGCGGTCGCAGTACTCCAGCGTTTTCCGTCATGTACGGTACGATCTAGCCGCCCAACTCCTTCCTGTTGGTAACCGTTAAAGTCGTCTGTGAATGGATAGCCGGCCTCGGTACCAGCGGCGAGGAAGACCTCGTGTAGGGTATTGGAGGATGTACCACGTGACACGCGCAATGGACCGCTTCCTCCTCGGTACTGGCTAGCACCTAGACAAAGGATATTACACTGAGCGCGGCAGACAGCTGAGGTCAATGGTTAACTCTTGTACACTGTAATTAGGTCATGATCTCAGAGTAAGAGAACAGCAGAAATTTTTCAAAGGGGGAACGGAAAGCCAAATGAGTGGTAAGGTGGCTAATCACTGATAATTTCGCCATTAGGGAGATGAAGCTGGGCTGGCGGGAGGTTCATCACTATGGGTTTCTTTCAGATGAGACTTATATAAATCATACGGTTCAAAATCCAAGAACACGAAACCTGAGTATGATCAAACCTGGGGTCTGTACGCATCTCTAGAGACAAAGTCACTGTGATTCCCGTGAACAGACATACCAAGCTCATAGGTTTCTGATTTCTTGAAGTATGGCAGACAGTCGGCGTAAGACCATCCTGTGGCCCCTTCTCTGTCCCATCTGTCAAAATCAAACGCATGTCCTCGCGCGTAAATCATTGCATTTATGGACGAAGATCCGCCCAATACTCGACCTCTTGGATGGTACATGGTCCTGTAAAATGCATGATGGAAAACGAATTGATTTCTAGTTCTGCAAAAGGCATTTGCCGAAGAATTCAAGACGTTTGGTCTTGTAACTCATGTATTGCTCGGTCTTGCTTCGCTGCTCGCTACTTTATCAGGCAGGTAGCTGAGTCAAGATTAGGCCAACCTCGTTCCCAGGCTCTCTCCTTTTCCTCCCTTGTTGACGGCAAGAGAGGAAATGAAGAAAAAAGCTGGAATCGATGTTGTGATCGGACTATCGAATATTGCATATTGATTACATAGCTCTACAGAGTCTACATGACTGAACAATAATCAATGGAGGGTCCTGAAAGGGCGGGGTGAGGGAGGGGGGTAGAGGGATAGACTTTTCCCAATCCAAATTTTGCCCAAATCTCCTTTCCCAGCCTATATATTGTTTTTGGCCAAATTCCTATCCCATTCCCATCTTGTTTGTTTGTTATTTCCAGTCCCAGTGACCCAAATCTGATTCTCGCAGTGACACAATAGGCAAATCCCAAGTCCAATTTTACCCCTTCATGTCCCTCTCAAGACAGTCAGAAACACTACAAGGATGTCATCAGTTTGTATTTTATGGCACTGAAAGTATTTAAACCCAAACTGAATATACTGTTATTACCTATTTTGCAAATTTTGCTGAGGTTCTGATGTGTAGTACCAGTTATGGCTGTCGCTGTCTAAGTTATACGACACTGCCGCTGGCATCTGGATTCTCCATGAATTGTCCTTTGGTCCAGCTTCAAGGAGAAGCACCTTTAAATCTGGATTGTCTGAAAGTCGATTGGCTAGTACACAACCAGCAGATCCACCTCCAACAATGATGTAATCATGGGTGGAAGAAAACGATATAGTTGACTTGAAACTTTTTGGTTGCACTTGGCTTGCTAAGTGAACAATGACAAATCATTTTGTTTTAGTAAAGGTCATAACAATTTCAGTACTATTCTCCCAGCTAAAACAAACACAAACAAACAAGCAAAACTGACAGAGAGTGATAATAGACTGACCCCTTGAATTCCAATCAAGTGATTTTCTTGATATTTGTGCTCTGTGAGTAAGCCTCAAGGAATACCTAAACATGGTCATGCCTGCAAGAATTAACAATATTAAGCTATTAAAATTGCTTTCAATCCATATCTGAAACCCTGCTTAAATAAATAAATAAATAAATAAATAATAAATGAATGAATGAATGAATGAATGAATGAATGGATGGATGGATGGATAGATGGATGAATGAAATAAAATAAATAAATATCTTAGTTGACCACTCCACCAATCGGGCTCTTCAGGGCTAATGACACCAAATGATGAAACAAATAATGCAAATGAACATAACTTGGTTAAAAATCCAAAATGGTGGGAGGCAGACCAGTTTGCTATTTACAAGCGTGGCCAAGGAGTTGAACTAGGGCCTACTGAGAAACAACTCTAGCTTAGTGGTCAGAGAGGGACTTGAAACAGCGACCTTGGGATTTCAAGTTAGGCACCCTAACCACTTAGCCAGGCTGCCCCCTGCTTAGTCTATGGATCAACATAATCTGTCTGTTATTATATTTCAACTAGTCTGATAAAGTAGGTAATATCACACTGTGTTATCAGTGGTGCAAGCATTTCCTTACAAAAATATAACTGAAAATCTAAGCAAGATTCTTGGTGATTTTTTGGTCTCCAAGAAAAGACTCTCACTCTGATTTTGGTAATTTTGTCAAGATCTCCTCAATGACAGAGATCATCAATGGCGGATCCAGACCTTGAGCTAAGGGGGAGGGGGGTTGTTTCTTTTTGCCCTGCCAACTTTTCTTCCTTCTGTGATTACTTCCTTTTTTTACTCAAAATAGGGGGAGGGTGGGCCCCCCGGGCCTCTCCCCTAGATCTGCCACTGATCATGGCATGATCTTTATTATTATTATTTTCACATTTCTAAAAGATAATCTTAATCTATCTTCCTNCCTGGTCTGCAGTCTATAGTACTCCGATAGTCTTCCGGTAGCTAGTCTACGTTTTACATTGACCGGCAACTACTGGTTGTTCCAGTCCCGTTTTCCCAACTTGAGCAAGGCTCATCCTTCACGTTGAATCTGGTACTTGAATGAGGTTCCTTTTTTGAAAAAATATCAACACTGTATGAAAGTTTTGAAAGGAATTCCGTACAATAACTTATCACCTGGAATGTTTTAGTAACTACAGAAAGCCGGTACTTGACACGTCACAACCATCTTACAGAAAAGAAAAACGAATTGCCGTAACACTTATCTCCATGGGAATGTTTTCAAATCCAGTTTAAATCGAAGAAATAGCGTGAAATGAAACAACTTACTGCCTGACAAGAGTGAGAAGAAGGTATGGACTGCTATCGCCAGCTCCGCGTACTGCCGCCATAGTTGATTGTAATCTCGTCCCCAGGGTCTTCTCCTCGAGAACGGGAGGTGGCTGAGGTGGTTTACTCACGTGACGTCTCAGTCTGACAACGTCAGTGCAGAGAAGACCCTGGGAACTAGGTTGGGTTAGTGCTCGGAAATGTTCGGGTTTTCCCAGCGAAAATTTTCGGTAAAAAGCACTTGTTTTCAGACCGGCCAGATAACTGTTCAACTTTGACCGAAGCCGTGAAAGTTTTGAAAGCGTCTACTCTTGGCAGTATAGAGTAGGGGCTCACCAGTAAAGGGTAAACTTTTTATAGACTTTGTCTGGCCTAACATTGCAGAACAAAAAACAAAAAGATGGGAAACATTTCTCTCCACCTTGTAAGCTTTTTTTTGGCGTTAGTTGGGACGGGGGTGGGGGTGGGGGTTGAGTTTGATCATTGGAAACAGAATCCCAGTGAGGTGCGGCTTAAATTCATTTTTATTTAGGTACCAATTTAGTTAGGTACCAATTTCTGACAGGTTGATCCTGGGTGCCATATTTAGAATAACCACTTCATTCTCTTTCATAATTAGTGGATCGGATGAGGTAAAAGAAAAGTGCATGGAGCATGCCCTCTTTCTCTCAGGATGCCCAATATCTTAATTCTTTTGCCTCTAGGAAGAACATTTTACATCTTTGGCACACCCCATGAGCAATGAAAACAGTATTTGGAAAGCCTTTCTTCTTTATCTCTTGCCCGGTTCAAACGTAAAGCTCTCAATCTGGCGTCTCACACCATAGCTATAATTGGCCATGTTTGATATATCAATATTCTAACATGGATCCAAGGCTTTTGGGTCAAAATTGCAAATTTTTTAAGTTCCTTTTTTGTCGCACAATTCTCAAAAGAGACTTGGATACATAGAAAACACCACCAAATAGAGAAGTTTGTCCTGAAAGCCTCCAAGCCATGTTCAAATATTGATATATTAAATGTGGCCTATTGTCAAAACAGAAGTAACATACATAAACTGGCACGAAGACCCCTACTTTCTTACTCCCTCTGAATATCCAATGGCCTTCCATGGAGTGGGTACGGATATTTTCTCGTACTGCACACTCCTTATATGTAACTAAAGTTGTTGAAGTCCAATTATTGGACTACAACTCTTGAGCCTGGCTCTTTACCAGGGTTTGCCTGATGAGATAACTGGATTTAGTGTCTACCTCATAAAGCCCTTTTGCTGTCATTTCATTGAAAATTCTTAGGTATTTTCAAAAAGGAAATGGCTAATTTGTACAGTTCAGACCCCTTGAGGTGTGCACTTGTCGCTACTGGATAACATGAGAGGGACTGATTTCTTTAGAATCTGAGAAGGCTCTAATTGCATTACTGTTTATCTCTGCTAGCAGACTTAATTAATACAGTGGCTGTCATTTTTTATGTCTGCCAGCAGCACTGATGTTTGCAGCTCCACGGATCCTCCACATTTTAATTTCCTTAGTCTTCAAACTGTCCTCTTTTTTCAATGGTTCGAGCAAACTGTCCCAACTGAACAAAGTGAAGATCTCTTTCTGTATGCTTTGTTTGTTCACCCTCCTTCTCAGCATTTCCTTGTTGATTTCACCCAGAATGCATAGATCTGGAGATTCTCATCAAGACATTGATTGACAACAATTTCCTGATAAATAATTTGAGATAGCCTTCTGTGGCACTGCTGAGCGACAGCTGGTCTTGGATTATAGAGTAAATCGGTTCTGATTGGAAAAATCTTCTGGATTGGTACGGGCATATTCGAAAATAACCTAAACCAGGTGTAAACACACTGGTTGGTGAAAATATCACACTATCATATCAGTTGGCGAGGAGTCTGTGGATAATATTTTACATCCAAAGACAAAATCTCTCGGCATGGATAATTGGTCTTTGTTTCACTACATTCCTCAGAGAATTAGACCCTGATTTGTAAGGGCAATGAATGCCATTTATGGATGCAAATTTGCTTTAGGTCAACAGTTCACAGATAAAAGCCAACAACGTTTTAGAAAAGCCATCTAGCGAAGAATAAAATTATGTTTACTCGAGGTCCGGCCTAAAAATTATTTATTAAATTACAACCCTCTGTTAGACAACCACATCAAATAAAGGTTCCAAAGAGCAGTGTATATATATTTACGGCCGACGTAAGCTACATGCAAGCGTTGAAGATGACTTATTTATAAGTTACTCGATAGGTGATTCGACATAACTCTCTATGTTAAAACAAAAACAACTCTATCAAGCTATTGACAATATTTGCCACAAATACATACATCGCACATCAAAATGATGGTCTAAAATACTTGTTTATATCTATATATTAATCCGTATAAACTTAGCTGTTTAAACACAGCAAAAATTGGGCAAAATTTCCGCTTTGCGATTGTTGCCAGCGTATTAAAGTGCAGTACCTAGAAAAATAGCTAAACCCCACAGCTATCTTCGCTTCGACATACTAAAAGCTCTTCTGATATGAGCTGGTCTGCTAAGATCCCCGTTCATAGTCTTCCCCTTGTCTTTGTCTTTTTTGTGTTGAGAGTTTTCACCCTCGCCAATTTGCGTCGCCGCTGTTATACTCGTTACATGACTAAATAAACATGGCGTTGATATCTCGACTTTCTTTAGTTTACGGAATTTCTTTAACCGTTCTCTGCTGCTAGAGCTCGGAAGTTTATTTAGTTCCGGGGCCGAAGTAGAGGACAAAATTTCTTGCACCGCAGCTTCAACGTCTTTTAAGAACACGTTAGCAGCTTCCTCGCAATTAAAACGAAAACCTGCCATTGCCCCGTCTCCATTTGAGAGCATCATTGTATGAAAGTTCTTTTGTTGTTCTCTGTAATTTGAACTCGAAGTTAGCGTCTCTTTCCACGTTGTAAAGCCACTATCTCGTTCCACTAAACTCAGATGCACTCCTTTGGGATTCCTTGCTCCAGAATCTCCAGTGCTGATGACCAAAACTGGAACTCCTTTGCGTTCTAGCGTCCACTGATTCGAAGGACGTTCGATGCTCGGAGGTTGCCAGAGGTAAAGACTTGCTGTCGTTCCACACACCACAACTCGGTTTGATAGGCAAGATAACGATAGTTTGATCTTGAAAACATCTTTGTCTGATAACCGCTCGCTTAAGGCATCGTCACTAAGCGTTGCCCTAATGGACATGACTGATTTAAGCCAGCGAATTTAAAAGACGTGACAAGAAAAACTCCTCAAATTAATAACAATCGTAAATGCACTTCGTCGTCGTTGAACACACCTCCAACAAACGAAAAGTTGAACGGATTACAAGCGCTCTACCACAACCAATTGATCATGTGTCATTTCTGAATAAATACATGCAGAAGGAAACGCTATAAATAAAGTTTCTCCGAGATTTCGCTTTCGCTGATGGAGAAAAACGCACTTCCAAGAGTCCTTTTGCTATCGAAGCTCCAAACCGTATGACGTCACCACAGTTCTTTTCATTTCGGATGTGACCTGGGTGGGGTGAACTTCCGGTCTGCAATCAAAGATTTGTTTGTTTTTCGGGAGAAGGTGTCATATACTGTACGAAATGTCAGTGGTGGTCTCCCAAAAATGTCCATTCTCATAAGGAAAGGGAATGTTGTTTGTAAGAGTCTGTGAGACTGTTGCCTGATAGTTAAAGAAAATAAAATTTTATGGGCTTAAAAATTGAATTTTTATGAGCTCCTGCCTGGTGTGGAAGTTTTCGTGTTTTCTCAAACCGAAAATTAACTATATTCATATATCGATCGCAATCAGATAAAAATTTGCCGTTTAGAAAATGCAAAACATTTAGGGGTCAGAATGATTGAACTCTTCGCTGAGGAGCAGTGCGGCTCTTTTAAAAACGATTTTCTGTATACACTGGTTATAAATCTAATTAGCACAGTAATTACGCTATCATGCTCACAGCAAGGTTTTTAGAGCCCGCTCAGTTAACCTGTGAGTGGAGGGGGGACCCAGTAGCCTGCGAGAGCACCCAGGTTTTTTCGGCTCCTGTTTCACGCCAAAAAACGGGATGCTCTAGCAAGCTAGGGACCCAGTTTTTTTTCTTTTTTCTTTTTAGAGTACATGAACAGTGAAGCCTTGATTCCTTACCATTGAGAGGAAACCAGAAATTTTATTTTTGGGGGGTGTATTTCTTCGCTCGCCGCGAATCACGCTTCAGCGGGTTCACCGCCGAGTCCTCGCGAGAATGAAAAATAAAACTGCTTCTGGCTACCTCTGCCACGCAGGGTCGCCCAGGATATGAGCTCAAAGATTTCTGGAGAACAACTTCTGGCAATTCATATCCTAGTCTGATAAAATCTTCGTTCACCAGCCTCAAATGCAATGAAAATTATTTAAAATGGCACCCAGATGATAGTTAAGGTGATTTCTGAAGTGAATTCTTATCGGTCAGTTTTAAGTCCCCGTAAAGTTGACTTCTCTAAAAGCATACTGATACACATGAAAGACCTTTAGTAGAACGGAGAGCTAGACATAGCTTGAATTAGTCCAAACTGAACTGCCAAGATGGAACCGTACACAGCTGTTTCGAATTGGTTAGTCGGTTCTCCTCAGCACTGTGTAGCAGCGAAAAAAATAGAGCAACCAGCACGAAGGTCGATTGTCCACTAAATGCACATGGTTATGATCTCAAATGAAACTTAAATCCCAAGGTTCATGTGTACGGATTGGTTAACATCACATGCATAACGTGTGACTAGGAACACAACAAGCAAAAATCCGGAATGTCATGTCCAATGTCCCGACAAGGAAACTGCAGACAGACAAAAACTGTGCTACAAAAAATACATGGCCGAGACCATGTTAAAAATGAACAACACATTGGATCTAAGAAGATCCACGGTCCAGACAAAAACAAATGTAAATGTGGCAACACACGGGATGTAGACTGCAGGATCATGGGTAGACTGCAGGCCTAGAATCTCTTCCAATCAGACACCGAGTTAATTAATCGTATACTAATTTTCCGTCATTTATATAGAAACAAAGGAATATTGGTTAAAAGCTGTATTTCAAACAAGCCGCACATTATCCAGTCAAGGAGTTTGTTTTGCAGTCAGTCTAATATCCAATGAACTCACCTCCATAAACTGAAATTCAAATGTCCGGTCCTCAGCCAAACTGTCGAAGACTGATTGTTTGTGGATTGCAGTGTTTATGTGTTCTTTAGTCTAAGTTTACTGACTTTTACCAATTTTTTTTATCCCTTGTAACCTCAGATTCCACTGATGATAAGCTTAGGTCTTGAAACCGTTAATATCTCTCCTCCGTACCTGTGGCAAAACAGGATTACTGCCTCCTTACTCATCTTAACATACGTCGAACAAATACTTGGAAATACTTCACAATACAGAAAAACAATCATTGTTACTAATGGCTGATTCTTATGGTACCAAAAGAAAAGGAATCACCCTAGCTTATAGCTTGAAAACTCAAGTACGGCCTTGCTGAGAGTGCCGTTCTCACGGTCCAATCCCAACCCAGTCGGGAATTGACTTAAGTTTGCAGATCTTATCGTCCATTTTCGCTATCTTTTCTAGTGACTTCCTGACATTTTCCGAGTGCCTTTGAAAGGACAGTACTTCACAAAATCAAAATCAAAACTTCCTCAATCTATTAGACGTGTAGGTTTTGGTCTTCAGTTTTGGTACTTTTCGAAGTCGTCAGTCTCCTTCAGTCAGTGAGAGTCAACATCAAAGTAGAAGTGAGCTTTACTTAGTAACAAACTAAAAGTTTCTGTAAAACTTAAACTGAATAAATCATTACTTGCGTTCGATATGACCTTGATGTTGAACTATTGCATGCCATTGCTAAGTCATCACTAACCACAATGAGGGCTTTTAAGGGTGCCCACCCACCCGTCTACGAACACTTCATTGTGTTACAAGCCGCTACCGGACGTACATCACGGATGATTGTATTCGGGAAGGCCGTCTTGTCGGGACTATGTAATTATGTGCCTCAACTCACTAGCTATGGAATACATGGCACGTACTTAAGAAAAGGAAATAACAGTAAAACACACCCTTTGGTAATACCATCCGACTCAGTCGCGTACAATTTGCTTTTTTGTACTTGTTGAAATGTGTTTACGGTATCCTTCGAACTGTAAATAAATGGCTATAATTACAAGTAATTATTCATCGATGAATTACTCTGTTTAAAGTTTGCGATTTGACGCGGTGTTGAGTTTAATAGTCACCAGACAAGGGAATAACAGAAACATCTGGAGAGGCAATATGAACATCTTTATTTTTCTCAATAAATTAACTTGTAGGAAAATTATGTTCTAAGCAATCTGTACGCGATCTAATCTTACTGTAGATATTAGAAATCCATTCTTAATTGCCCCGCTAATCTTTACTGCGAAGTCTTCTCCTTCAAACCGATTTCCATTTTTAAAAACTATACACATTCAACACTAGTATAATATTAAATTTCACCCTGGCATGTAGCACTATATTCCAAAAATATCAATAACTTCTTGAGTTTTCGGCTCGTTTACATTCGTATCATTTACACAGCTTTCAGTGCAGGGTCATCCTTCTCAGTCTGTTGAAATTTCAAATCATTTAAAGTTCAGTTGTACATAAATCTGTTACCATCAAGTCCCTTCTCTTGAGAACTGGTTCCGTACATCGTCGAACCAAACTAAAACTTCGGACGGGCCGATTGTTGTTCAAAATCTCCGGCTTGGCAGGCCGTTCAATGCGGCTAATATCGGTTGTGGGTTTCTCGCACACCTCGGATATGGAAACAAGGTGCCGGTCTTTTTCTTGCGACCGCGCAGTCAGCGCGCTCGCTTCTTCTCCGCACGGTGTCGCTATTTGTGGCGCAGCCAGAGGCCTTCCTTCCGCGCTGAAGACTTGTTGTATTTGAATATTGGACAGGGCCACTGTGCATCTCTCAAAAGCAGTTTCGTGAGCTCGAGGGTGTCTTGGCCTTGGTGCGACATTGAAGGAGTGTGACCTCAAGGCCGGTCTATGTCCAGAGCCTCTTAAGGTATCTCTCTTCGAGTTTGATTGCGATGAAAACACACTCAGCGCTCGGAGAACAAGACTGGCAACCGTTTCATTTTCATATCGTATTCCAGCTTTTTCATGAAAGTTCTTGGTGCTATTAAAAGTGTGGAAAGTTGGTTGTGGCGACTCGATCCTTGTCATGTCCGCGACAACAGTCTCTCTCCATACCACTGCGCGGGTTTTTAACGACGTCAAACAGATTTCAATCCGTTGTCCAAGGCTGTCCGTATTATAGACTAAAGCTACAACTCCTCGTCCTACGGTACTCCATTTTTCTTTGGTGGGTCGTCGGAGAATGCTTAGTCGCATCTTGTTTACAAATACCTCGGCCAAGCAAGGTGCTATAACAACTTTGTGCCGAGGTGTCAGTGTCTTCGCCAAGGATTCTCTTATTCGCAGGACGTCTTCGTCGGTCAAAACCATCGTAGGCTTCATTGGAAATCGCTTTGTTACACGAAAACAAAGGTCTCAAGTAAATCGATCTCACTTATAATGTTATTATCAAAGCAGAAATCAGAAGAGTTATGGGCCAAACAAACAGCAAACAACACTCTTGGTGCCCGGTTCGTCCGTGCTGCTGACCGACTTCTAATTCGTGGTCTAAAGATTTGTTAGTATTCGTGGATTTGCGGCACCAGGGTTAGCTGATTTCCGCTTCGCTGAGAAATTATCTCGGAAATCAAGGCGTGGGAGTAAACAGCGAAAATGACTCATATTTACATGACTGCAAGCGAGTAAATCCGCGATTGTCAAACTTGTGGGCAGAGAGATCTAGTGCTTTCCAATGACTGCGAGGTTCTTTACCCCTTGAGAAGACCTGGTTACAATTTTACAATAACAGAAAGTTCAGGGTAAAATATTTACATAGCGAAAATCGAAATCAACGGTATTTATGGTCGACACCGCACAATGTGCTTATTTGCCCTTTGGCGGTACTGGTCTGCTCGTTATTCAAATTTCCCTGATTATTATATTGTACACCAGTGACGATTCTTTCAAGATTCACTCATGTGCTCGGGAGAAAGGTCAACAACGGATGTGGTCAGCGCCAGGTTCATTTGCACTGACTGACAAGACGTCGCATCTCGTGATTCAAGGAAATTCAAAGAACTTTCATGCAGAGTTGTCAATTAAAATGCGTATAAAAACTAACCTACCCTCTTTTGTTCAATAAGAACCAAGAATTAGCTCTGACAATTGTACAATAGTTTTTCTGCCAGACTGAAAGCCTTTTGCTGATTAGGGTTCTCTAAAAGGAAAAATGTTTGATACTGGGCCGTCTCCTGGGAATGACATCCAGTCCAATATGTACAGTGTATATAGCATGCTAGAAAGAGAAATGGCAAAAAAACTGCCTGTACCTCGATATACAACAACTGAAACTTAAACTTCCGTTGGGATGATTTCGTATGTCGCTCCAAATTACGTTTTCCCGTTTTGCTTGCTCTGATCAAAACCAGGAGCAGATTAAAGAAAAGTGGATTGGGAACAGGCCTTTGCCTGTTACCCGAGTCCTTTTGGTCCTGTCACGACGAGAGAGCTTTTTAAACTTGTTCCGCATTCGCGCTCTCGCCCCAATTTCCGCGCCAACAGCATGCCAGCAAGAAACTCCTCGCTCGTACGGGAACACTTGTTCGCCAAGCAATGATATCGACGGACCATACAAATGAGCTGGAAATACACGGAGTTACTAGCTGTGTCGTGAAAGGCATAATTTCTGACCCACATCGACTTATGTTGTAATTAGTTCGCATGCGCATGAGACAATATCCATTCAACTTTTATTTTCTCATCAGGCATTTTGAGAGTTCGTATCTTGATCATTTATGAAGAAATGAAGGTTCTGGACACAAAAAGGTGGTTGTTCACATTGATGTGGATGGCATTCCTTATAGAACAGCTCCACCCAATGAGGGTACTTTTCGTTTCAAGCGGAGATGTTTTTAAGGGAATTCACGACTTGAAGTATAGACGACTGAAGCCAGGAAGAACCGTCATTAAGGTATTTAAAAGAGCCTTTCAAAATATCCTCGAAGAAACGCACCAAATAGCTGATTCTTCAAAGTATTCTGAGTTAGTGGAAAGTAGGTACTTGAAAGCCGGGGTACTCTTTTCTGTGGAAGGTGTATGAAATGGTTGCCTTTTCTGTCAACGGATGCTTTGTAAAAGGGGGGAGGGGTACAGGAGTTCACATCTGTGCGGAGCGTTCTCGTTGAACCTTTGTTGAGTACCTCTCCGAGCACATCGTTGAGGCAGCTGGATAAAGGGAGGTTTCAGGCAGGTTTGAATTTTCTGGGCAACCGATCACTAGACACTTACATTAGAGACGGGTTTCTAAAAAGCCCTTTAATACGACAGACTGATTTCAATAGTTCGTACGTTACCAGCCGATATTAAAACTAGGTTCGATTACCAGCCGCTGTACGGGAAAGGAGCCCGCGGAGAAACGTAGACATGACTTAGAGAGCGGCAGAAATCGAGCCTATATTAAAACTTACTAATAGAAAGCTACAAAACAGAAATCGAAATTAATGCCAACATAAAAACCAAAGATAAGCGTAATCGTGCTTTGAACAACCTGGATTCCATCTGCTTTCAGTCGGACAAATCCGAAGTGAGCAGGTCCGGTAGCTTTCTCATTTGTTACGTAACATATCAAACACGAAAGACCGTGTTTGACCACATTTCCAAACACCGAGAAGAGAGTGGAAAGTACGACGCGCAGCGGAGTATTTTTGATGAACTTTGATGTCTTTGGAAATAAGGTCAAACACGGTCTTTCGTGTTTGATATATCTTTCTCAATCGAAACTAAAACTAAGGAGGAAACGTAAAAATCTACGCTAATTAAGATCAGACATCCAAACTGCACCGTCGCGTTTATTATTTCCTTTGTTTAAATTTGAGAAAACTCCTTCCAATTTAGCAACACAGGCTCGGGATATACCTGTGCCCCAACCCCAGCTATCATCTGTTTCAAACTGTAATTTTGAACATGCCATGTTAATACTGCACTTGATCGACTGTTTACAAAACAGTAAGCATTCACTGGTAGATGCAGACCCCAGACTTGTGATCAAAGAACCAATAAAATAAAAAAAAGATAGCTAACTAAATATCACATGATTTCTCTCATGCATAGAAATATAAAATCTTGTATATACATGCAATATCAGCGACATATCAGACATGAACTGCAAAGCCTCAATTTACATTATTAATTTGCTGTCAGTAAGTTTTGCCCTGAAATAACACATCTATATCCTAATATTTGTATTCACTGTATTTCTTTAATGTTTGCACACATTGGCATCATTGGTAAGCTATGCTTGTGCCATAAATAGACTAATCAAATAAATTGTGTATCTTCTTGTGAAACAATGTTACAAATTGTACCTGTTTTGTAAATAGTAAATATTTTACACACAACATAAATTTATGGTCTCTCTTAAACCCTTTCACCCTTTGGATGGCATAGTCCTTAAGGAAGTCTCTCATTGTATCTATTAAATAAAAAGCTCTTTATCCTTGAAATTTGAGCATTTTGTTAGTCAATACTCTCAGTCAGGCTGACACTAGTTTGACAATAGGTGAATACATTTTAAACTAATATTAATGACAATGAACCCACACTACACATGTTTGCTGAGATTACAACCTCTTTCAGGCTCATAGCTATCTCAGATAATTTATACAAAAACATCTTAACTAGTGTTTTAAAGGGATTTGTAACATGATGCTTCTCAAAGCATTTGGAAAGTTGCAGTTCAAAAATGGATAATGCTTTTATCCAGGTAAATCTCTGTCCAGTGGACAGTGAGATTGTTTATAATGTCTGAACTGGAGCCAGAACAGATGTCTGACATGGTGAGCTCTATCCACCCTTACTTGAGGGATGTCTAAGCATTCCATATGGATGGTGTTCATGTAGCTCTACAGAGATCCAAATCATGCCTTAGAATAGTTATTAATCTGAAATGAGTGTGCAGAAGCGGATATCTGTTAACTTGCTTATCTGAACAATAAGGAGGACCTTGACATGGAAACAGTGACACGGAGGAGTATAAATGACAATGAGTGATACAAATTGTGTTGAAATTCTGACTGTAACATGCAGATCTTCCTAAATTGTGACAAGAAAAGGTTTGAAATCCAGACTGGGAATTCAAATGCATAACCCCCTAAAAAGCATCAATAGAATTCCAGTTTTATTACATTACAAACTAGCCACCATGTTATCTTGAACTGTTTGGCTACTGCTTAGCTGGCCAAGAAATACCAAACTAACTTTCCCTGTTTGAAAGAATTTGGAAAAAGGCTGCTTTATTAAAACACACAACCAGACTTGTTCCACTAGTGGAAAGGGCAACATGCAAAGGTTCTTCATCAGTTTCAATTTTTGAAATTAGTTCTCCATCTGGTTTAAAGGCCACAATCGCATTATTACTGCAGTCGCACACTAAAATGGCATTGATGATTACATCAACTGCTATGCCAACTGGATCTAAGAGATCCCCATTGCCGAAGTCAAAGAGGAATTTGCCACTGCTGTCAAAGACCTTTACACACTCCAAATCACCATCAGTAACAAAGAACTTTTGTTGATGATACACAACATCTTGAGGACAAGCTAGTTTGTCTTCACCAAAGCTAAACTGAAACTTTCTATCAGAATTGTACACAAGAATACATGGCTGTACTTCATCCTCAGGTTCATCACAGCAGTCTCTAGGACTTGAGGTCACTAGCAAGCGACCACTGGCATCTGTAGATATCCTTGTGAATTTTACACGGTTGTTTGGTGCCTTCACATACTTCTTGATGAATGTGCCTTCTCTGTCATAGTGAAGCAAACGGTTGCACTCTCGGTTCAAGACTATAATTTCATCATCCTTGGAAAACGTTATGTCCCACAGGTCACCATATCTAATACGAAATGATGTCAGGTAATCTGCCTGTGAAGAGTAGACATAAACACGTCTCTCCTCTTCATCTAGCACAACAATGTCACCTGACACATTTGACGCAGCAATGGCAAAAGCCAAATATCCAGTTTCAATGGTCTGTGTTTCTTCTCCACATGTACTGTAATCGATAACACCAGCACTAGCTTCACTATGAATATACTTGGTAGCAGATAATGTTAATTTCCCAAGCATTTCCACAAATTTGCCTTCCATTTCTGACAGCTGGCAGTGACAAAAATCCATTTCCGCCTGACTAGATAGCTTTCTGGCTTCCAGTGTTCTTGCTTCTGCAGTGGAACTGATTTCTTTTAACTGCTTCACAAGCAAGTCTCCAGAGTCCAGAATTTTTCCAACTTCACCTTGCTTAAGAATTTCACTGGCTTTCTGCATACAACTTTTCGCTTGCTGAACAAAAGCTCCAATGTCTTCCCTCTCTCTTTCTAGAGAATCAGTGTCATAGTTTTCGGTCATAAAGCAATCAACTTGAGAAAGAAGAATTTTCCTGTGATCATTTACGATCTGGACCAAATTATCAGCCATGCTGTTAATCTCGCTTCTCAACAATTTGCTCTGATCTGTGGCCTTCTCGTAGCATTCTCCCATTTCTTTCATCGCTTTCTCTGCCGCCTTCACCCTATCTTTGCAAACTGTCAGTGCCTCGTTGACAGCTTTTTTTTCCTTTCTGGCAGGAGTGTTCTCCATAAGTCGCAACAAAAGATGGTTGGTGGGGAAAGCAGACACTCCTACAGATGGAAGGAAAGACTCTTCTCGGCACTGGGGACATGAAATGGTAATACTATTTCTACGCACCATGTTCTCCAAACATCGCTCACAAACATTGTGAGCACAGTTTGGAAGACACTTCGGCTCCTGAAATTCTTCCAAGCAGACTGGACACGTAGTTTCGTCCCCCATAATGTTCACAATCTTCTGTAGTTCGTAGTGTTCTGATCGAGAGAGGGCCGCCATTACTAATTTGCCAGGATTTGGTGATGATGCAACTTCGAGCCCAGTTTCCCCACCCAGTTGGACGGGAACAAGAGCTTCAGGGGTCTACAATCGGTGCATATTTATTGCATGACAATATCACAGTTAGCCTGTGTCACAGCCGCCTCTCCCCGGAAAAAAAAATCGGTGAGAGATTTTTTTTTTCCGGGGAGAGGCGGCTGTGACACAGGCTATATCACAGTTTGAATGCAAGTGAATAGTGTTTTTCGCGTGTTCTGATGGGTGGATTCGGAGGTGATTAGCAAAGAACTATTCAACCCCACATTGGTAAATAATTGTTAATTATTTGCTTTGGAGAGGTTTTCAACTGAGTGCTTAACTGGTTTTACTTGGGGTTTTTACTATGGTTTGAGACTGGCTGAGTCTAATCCCGGTTTGGGGGGGAGGGGGAATTACTCCCAGAAAAATTGGGTGGGGGTGTGAGGCCCGCTTCTCAAAACCCTTGCCTACCCTATTTATGAACTGACCAAAAATTTGAGACCCTATCAAAACCCTGTTTCAGACCTGCGTTATAATTAGTTCCCTAGTTCAGGCCAATGTTAAATTACCGTAAACATAATTTGTAAAGGGCTTTTGTTGATTTTCTTTTCGATAATGAAGAAAAAGTGGCTTTTCTTAAAAACATACCCATATCAAGGCTAGAGTACAAAAACCATACCCTATTTATGGCCAAGATCTGCGATTTTCCCTACCCTATTTGACCTGACCAAAAATTCGATACCCTGTTTATGACTGTTGTCGCTGGCACAGTTGCCCTAAACATAACTTATGAAGGCCTTTTGTTGATGGTCTTATCGATAATGATGAAAAAGTAGCTTCTTCTAAAAGAATGACCAAAACAGCTGAAAAACCATACCGTTTGGGGCTGCACTACCTATATAGCCAAAATAAGGGAGTACCTCCTCCCCCGATCTTATCATTCATCAAATCTTAATGATCAAAACCAAATTATAATTTAACAAATTGACGCCAGTTTTTTTTATGCGTCTGTCCTCTTATTGATGATCGATAAAATGCATTATAGCATTGTCAAAGGGTAAACTTTGACAATGTTATGATAAAATTTATATTCAATAGGAGGACAGACACATAAAAAACTGATGTCAGTTTGTTTTTTACAATAAGAAGACCCCAAAATGGTCAAATGGTGGGAATAAATGAGGGAAAAGGCGCCGTTAACTTGCCGTAAACAAAGATAAGTGAATCTTATTCAAAATGACAGAAACATTGTCAATAGCAAAATAGCGAAAGAATGAGAGATGCGAATGCATCCATAACACTACTGGAAAAATGACCTGAAAAAATTTTCAGGCTCTGAACGGGATTCGAACCCACAACCTTTGCGTTACCGGTGCAAGGCTCTACCAACTGAGCTATCAAAGCCACATCAGAGCGGTCGTGTGTAGGTTCCGCCCTATATGTTAAGTGGACGTAATACTCGGCTCAAGTATATGAATTCCATGGTAATAGATGTCCAACAGTAGCAATTAAATAATGAAAGAATGAGATGCGAATGCAGCCGTAACACTACTGAAAAAATGACCTGAAAAAAATGTTTTTCTATTGTCAATAGCTTTTCTCATTTTTTGACTGGCTACTTAAAAAAGTCCATAAAATCTCATTGGTTAAAAGTTGACAGTTTGACAGCTGAAAGCTGAACTTGAAAGCTTGCGTAAATTAAAATTGTATCCGTCTGTATTTTTATTCATGATAAAAATGAGCCAATCAGCGTGCAAGAAATTAGACAGTTATTGTAAAAAATTGTGTTTTACACTGACCATTACTGAGACCCAACTGAGGAGTCTATTCATAGGCTACAAGAGATTCCTGATTTGAAGTGATCCTAGTCCAGTTGCTTGACTCTCCTTCTTACAAGGAAAAATGGCACTACAAAAGTGGATCACTCTCTAGATGCCTCATGTACCACCAAGAGACAGGTGTATGCAGTGACTAGTATCTTAAAATATAACATGCCCACTGAAAATAAAGCCAATCGGTAACACAGGAAAGCCGTAGTATACTTGATGATATTACACCACACCTTCCCATCAGGTGCTGCATTGATATCCCTCTTGGCCATAGTGTATTTTCCGTGCCATGGTATAAAATAGTTATGTAACACTTTCTTGTGGTATAATTTCCATGGATTACATTGTAACTCACTTGTCGCTTGTATTTTCTTGATAAAGACGCTCGCCTTGAGGCTTGCATGTATACCAAGAAAATACAAGTGACTTGTGGGATATTCCAGGGTATACCACTTTAAAGCGTTGCATATAAACTTATAATAATATACCAAAGGAACCAGGCAAAGAAGTGGCAGGGTCTCCTGCGCAGCAGCTTAATGCAACGCTCTAACTCCACCACAAGTACACAGGACAGTTGCAAAAAGAACCAATAATAATATGGCAGTGATAAAGAAATCATGAATATATAATAGGACTTAAGCCTGATAAACAGTCAAAACTAGAATCCCCTCTGGCTGGGCAAAACAAAACCGAAAATATACATTTTGTACATCTAAGAGCATTGAACTACCAGTGCATTGAGGCAGCATACACAGAAAGTCATGTAAACCTTTGTTTTCGATTCTCTGTCACTTTACCTATTCACAAACATATTCATATATACATTACTTTATTTACCCTCGGATTTCAGAGTAGCTTATGCAGCTAATATCTCCAAGAATTTAACCATCAGATGAGAGATAGACCACCACACCGGGAACTATGTCCCCTACTCTTTTCGATCAGTAACAGGTAGCTATTTCTTTTATTTAACCTTGTAGTGCAAGTTTTTTTATACAACTATCTATAAAATTGACTGATAACCTATTTTACATGTAGCTTCCAACAGTGATGTGTATGGCTTAAAATAATTTAACTAGGGAATGAAAACATATATGTTATCTACCTAGCCTAATGGAAACACTGAACTATGAATAAATTTGGGACAATTCAAATGCTGTACAGTTACACCACATTATTCAAATCTGTTGTTCTTTAAAGTCACAAACTGTGACTGTTTTGCTTTCAATTCTAGTTTAATCAAGGCTGAGGTCTAAGAAAAATTACTATTACGAGGTTCCTAACCATGAAATCTTGGGTGCCAAGCACTCAAGCTTATATGGAAAAAGTAAGTTTTACCAGTCACCCAAAGCAAAAAGTTAGTTGCAAGTGGTACCCGTGCACTCCTAGAGCACAGCCCCGTTAACGTAACCATTTTAGTGTTCAGTAAGTGAACAAAAAACTCAGTCTTATTCTATCTGTGAACAGGTATGCGCTTACATTTTAATTTTGTAAAAGGTTTCGGCTAACACCATGTTTAAGTTAAGTTAAGTTGAATTTGTTGACTTAAGTTTTTCCCTAAATAAAATAAACCTGTTTGTTCACAGGTTATAATAATAATCTTTATTGAAGAAACTTTTTCACGTACATGTGGTTTAAAATGATTCGAAAAGAGCGTGGGTTCAAGGAAGAAGAGTTCATTCGCGACTTTACATCCCTTCCATTTAGTGTCATTCAGGCAACAGATGATCCT